CTCTCTGCCTGTCTGTCTGTCTGTCTGTCTGCCTGCCTGCCTGTCTCTATCTGTCTGTCTGTCTGTCTGCCTGTCTGCCTGCCTGTCTGTCTGTCTGTCTATCTATCTGTCTGTCTGTCTGTCTGTCTGTCTGTCTATTTGACTGTCTCAAACTTCATTATTCTAAAGCGCTTCTAAACTTTCAGACACTGCTCAACCAACAGCAGTTTGTTACATATATATATATATGTATATTTATATTTTTCAGGTTGATAACTCCTCCCTGACGGGCGAATCAGAGCCTCAGACCAGGTCACCTGACTGCACCCATGACAACCCTCTGGAAACCCGTAACATCGCCTTCTTCTCCACCAACTGCGTTGAGGGTACGGTTGCCATAGCAGCTGCATCACTGCTCCACTTTCTCCTCCAGGCTGTCTCTCTCTCACTCTCTCTATTATTTCATTTCCTGTTTTTTATGAACTCATCTTCTCCGATCGATTTTTCGTTTCACCCTTTTTCCAATCTCTCTATTTTTTTCCTGGTCGTTTTTTTGTTGTTGCCAAGAACAGCCGAAGAGGAAAGATGTTGTCATGATGACAACCTCTCACTTCTGTGCCACTCGTCTACTGCCCACGTGATTGCTCGCACCCTCCTTTTTCACTCTGTTTTTCCACACATTTCACTTCGCTTTGATGGTAAAACACTAATCAATTCAGATTTGACTGAACAAATGAATAACACAGCAGGAGCTAGTGACGTTTTCTTCTCTGTATCACTGCTGAATTTCAAATGAGGTTTCACCGTTTGCTAATCCAGTCTTTCACAGGTTTTCTACCTGTGAATGATGATTTATATTCATTATAACAAATACAACTGCTTATATGAAAGCAGTTACATGTATAGCTCTCTCGGAAATGACTGATTTCTCTCTCCGTCAGTGTAAATGTGTCTGCAGCTCTTGTCAGTTGTGTAATGCAGTTGTTTTGATAGGTCAGGAGATGATGCATATTGCCACCGCTCAGTAGGGAGCTGTCAGCAGGGACATCTCAGACAATGTCCTTCCTTTAGATTCCAGCTCCGCTTCAGGGTGGCGCTCTCCTGCCACCATGTGGTGAATTAGAGCACAGAACTCTCCGAGTGAAGTGAAATGAAATCATTCCAAAACAAGACACATCAAGATCACATTAATATGTCATACTGGATATTATATTTAAAAAGAATAAATAAGAAACAAAATAGCTAATGTAAGCCATATTAATTTGAATTTCACATTTTTAATTTAAAGATATATTTATTTGGTCAAATCTAATATTCAAATAACATCATGCAGTTGTGGTCAATAAATAAAAATATTTAAACATTAATTTTTTTGTGGTATTTTTAAATAAACTGATGTGTTTATTTAGCAAGAAATCTTTAAATTTGTCAAAAGCGACAGTAAAGAAATAATGAGATTCTATTTAAAAAAACGTATTTTGAACTTTCTATTCATCAAAGAATTCTGAAAAAAATGTGGTTTTCACAAGCAGCGTAGCTGTTTTCATTATTGATAATAATAAGAAATGTTTCTTGGGCAGCAAATCAGGATATTAGAATGATTTCTGAAGGATCATGTGACACTGAAGACTGGAGTAATGCTGCTGAAAATTCAGCTTTGCATCATAGGAATAAATTAAAAATTAAAATATATAAATAGAACAGTTATTTTAAATTGTAAAAATATTTCACAATATTACGTTTTTATTTTATTTTGATCAAATAAATAAAGACTTGATGAGCTTAAGAGACTTACTTCAAAAACATTGCAATAAAAACCCTACCAACCCCAAACTTTTGAATGGTAGTGTATATATTATGTATAATTTGTATTTTATCATTTGTAAGGCAAAATGGGTGATTTCATTTGCCCAGTAATAGAAAAATTAACATTACTGGCAAATTTATAACTAAAAGTTACATATTCTATGTACCACTAGAAATAATATTACTACATATTGCAGCATAGGTCACACATTTTATCCCTCCACACACTCTTTGTTCTCACATAATAATATAATATCAACTTAGATCAATATTTCTTGTTATTTATATATTTGCTAAGTTGGCAAGTGATAATTGGGATAATGTGCTCTGATCATTATAATGATGTCCTTCTGTTCTCTTCTCCTCGGTCAGGTACCGCTCGTGGGATTGTGGTGTGCACCGGTGACCGCACCGTCATGGGCCGCATCGCTACTCTGACCTCCGGCCTAGAGACCGGAAAGACGCCCATCGCCAAGGAGATCGAGCACTTCATCCAAATCATCACCGGCGTGGCCGTCTTCCTGGGCGTCAGCTTCTTCATCCTGTCAATCATCCTGGGCTACTCCTGGCTGGAGGCCGTCATCTTCCTCATCGGCATCATCGTCGCCAACGTGCCCGAGGGACTGCTGGCCACCGTCACTGTGAGTGACCTGACTTCTCCCTCTCTTTCTCAGTGTCAGGATTTTCTAGTGTGTATTGGTGTCCCTGCTAGTATTTAAATGTCTTTCTGTGACAAGTATGTGTTTGTTTTTGTTATTTTTCAGTATAATTTGTGACTTAATATGTGTGTGTGTGTGTGTGTTTGTTGTCTTTTTTGTTTCTTTTGTCAATGGCTTTGTTTGGAATGGACATACTGTATACTAACATACTTCACAGTATGTACTACGTACTGCACAGTATGTACTGCACACTGCCTACTGAGTAAAACAACAGTAGTGTGCTACAATATATTATAACGATTAAAATCAGTTTTAAAAGTGGCAATAGTATGTCAGGAAATAAATGTACACTATCTTTCAAACGTTTGGGGTCAGTAAGATTTGTTTAAAGAAATTAATCATTTTATTCAGCAAGTCTAATGTCTATAAATATCACTTTAGACATAAATTAATGCATAGATTATGTCTAAAGTGACATTTAAAGATATTTATAATGTTACAAAAAATTTCTATTTCAAATAAATGCTGTTATTTTGAACTTTGTTCAAAAATAAATGTTTTTTGAGCATCAAATCAGTATTTTAGAATGATTTCTGGAGGATCATGTGACACTGAAAACTGGAGTAAAATGCTGAAAATTCAGGTTTGCGTCACAGGAATAAATTACATTTTACAATATATTAAAATAGATAACAGTTAATTAAATTATAATAATATTTCACAATATTACAGTCAGTTGTTTACTGTATTTTGATCAAATTAATGCGTCCTTGGTGAGAGACTTCTTTCAAACATTACAGAATATTTGAAACCAAACCAACCCCAAACCTTTAAATGATAGTGTATTTTGTGTTAAAAAAAAAATATATATATATATATATATACAGTATATATATACACAATGGAATTCCAAACAAATAATTAGTCCAAAAAAAGTAAGAAGTTGCAAAATCACATTTGATATTTCATTTATTCATCACAGCAAATTTTTGCACATGTTAAGTAGTAGGTACATTAAAAAAATACAAATAAAAAATAGAAAGTGAGTGAATTTTTTGCTTTAGTTTCTTTCTTTTAATTTTACAGTACTAGTCAGGTACAGGTCAGGTTCAGGAAAGTCAGGCTTCAATTTCTGCTACTACCATAGTTCTCTAGTTCAAGTATTAGTAGTGTGCCATTCTGAACATATTCCATAATATTTGGATACTTTAATCTGTGTGTATCTGTTTTTGTCTCCGGTTCATTTCTTCTTCAGTGTAACAGTGTAATGGTGTTAGTGAGTGTTGTGGCTTCTGGTCTGTGGTTGTGTGGTGTCAGTGAACGCTTCAGTAGTGTTGAATATCATCGTGAACTGTATTCCCTCTCTCTAATCCTTCATATCTGTGACTCTTCGTGACTCTATCACTCTCTCTCTCTCTGTCTGTTCCTCTCTTTCTCTTCCTGTGTTCTTTTACAGACTCTCACTGTTGAAATCCTAGGCCAATATGAAAATCTGAAAAAGTATTACTCTGTGGTATCTCTAGTTGCCTGTGCGAGCTAGTGGCTGCCACACAGAGACTGACGGGGCTCTGGCTGTGCCTCTGGCTGCCATGCACAACTAGGCCTGAAACACTCTATGCAGACGTCAAGCTTGGTTTTTTGCATCACTGCATTCGGAAACGTGTAATTCATAATGCAGTGCAAATATGCATGCTAAATACACTGACGCTGAGACTTTTTGCCAAAAAAAATTTGACCGTGAGGTTATTCATGTTTTTTGGACCCAACTGGCAAATTTTATATTTATAAATGTTTATATTATAAATTATATATTTACAGTAAATGGTAATGTTTTTTTTTTTTTATTTAAATGCATAATTTTTTAATTAAAAGAAGAAAAATAAGAGTATTCAATTTATTGTTAACGCCTTTATTTTCTACTTAAAGTTTATGTCCATAAAAAGAAATTTGCATGATTAGCTCAACTACACAATTTGTTTTCTCATAAATTGTGAAACTATTTTGCAATTTTCAACACTTATACATAATAAAAAGTCAAAGCTTTCAAAAACCCTTATCATTTATGCTGTAGCTTTTATAGTTTTTGAAAGAAGTTTCTTATGCTCACCAAAGTAAACAACAGTAATATTGTGAAAATATTATTGCAGTTCAAAATCAATTTTAAGATGTAATTTATTTGTGTGATGCAAAGCTGAATTTTCAGCGTCATTACTCCAGTCTTCAGTGTCACATGATCCGTCAGAAATCATTCTAATATACTGATTTACTGATGAAAAAAAAAAAAAAATTTTTTTTACTTTTATCAATACTGAAAACAGTTGTGCTGCCTTTGATATGTTTCATTAATTAAAAATAGTATGAATTTGGCCTCTCAACATTACCATAAGGGTGCTATATTGGACAATATAAAGGCAAAAATAGTAAACAAAAATGTCAATATAAAGAATTATTCATGTGATATAGGCTGAATAGAACAATTGAGAAATTTATATTTTTAAAAGTCTCTTGATTTTTGGTTTGATTTTTCTGGTAACTGCATTTTGCATGTTCTTGGCAGCCAATAATTCACCTCAGAAAAAAGATGGTCTGCACAAATGTTTTGCTTATCCTTACTGCAAGTGAACCCTTAATTAACAATATGCGTCATATATTTTTTATATCTTGTGTCATATTTTAAGGGTTTTGGATGATAAGGGCATGTCACACCTGCTCAATTTGCCATTCAATTTGACTCTCCTATTAAGTAAAAGATGAATTTGTGCGAATATACCATATTGATTTTGATTGGCTCACCTTTAGACATCAATAATAAAAGGCAGACATTGCGTAGAGTATGTTTCCGACCTCTCTGCTTCCTGCTGTGCTTGGCTTTGCTCCTCAGAGCCTCTTTTTTGATTTCACACAGTTCTCTTATTGCACGAGGCTGTATTGTGCCACATTACCAACAGTGTAATGTCACTAAAACTCTGTTCGCTTCTTTTTCTCTCCACCTCTTTTTCCTTTCAACTTCTGCCTCACACACTTCCTTTTGTTCCATTTTTCTGCTCCTCTGTTTCCGTTTCTTTCTTTCTGCCTTTCTGTTTGCGTCTCCCAGGTGTGTCTGACGCTCACGGCCAAGCGCATGGCTCGTAAGAACTGCCTGGTGAAGAATCTGGAGGCTGTGGAGACTCTGGGATCCACATCCACCATCTGCTCTGATAAAACCGGCACCCTGACGCAGAACCGCATGACTGTCGCTCACATGTGGTTCGACAATCAGATCCATGAGGCCGACACCACGGAAGATCAGTCGGGTGAGTCGCTAGTATAAGCGCTAAGGATGCAATAAATAGATCAGTAGTGTCAGTAAAGGCATTTCAAATGTTACCAAAGCAGGGTTATTGTTCTTAAATAAAACTAACACCATTTAAAAAAACAAACCAAAACCAACTGTAAACCAACCGGGGGAAATATAAATAAATATAAATAAATATATATATATATATATATATATATATATATATATATATA